GACCATGATGGCCCGGGACAACGGAACCATAGGATCTAGATCAGAATCATCATTACTTCCCCCACCACCCTCTTTAAGTACGAGGTGGTAAATTTCTAATTTTAAATATCAAATTTCCAAACCCTAAACCCATACTGCTAATATATTCACAGATACACGTATCTCTATGTATCTGATCAACGACTAACCTTAATCAAGGTGATGGAGAGAGCAACATCAGGATAAATTTAGAGGGATACCTAGTTCCAAATTAAATGGAAGGAAATTACATAGGTGTTCAGAGATTAGTTTTTGCCTCTTTCTGCGATGAGGCAAATGCATGATAAATTCTTGAAGTTGGTGCAAGGAGATAGATCAGTAATGCAATATGAAGTTGAATTGACTATTTTATGAAGATATGCTCCTTAGTTAGGCTTCGTTTGGTTATCCCATACCTTTTGTAAAAGGTGGTTTTAGAAATATTGGTTGAGGAAATGGAGTTTTGTCATGGAGAAGCCAATATCAAAAAGCTTCTTAAAACAATAAAAAAATGAAGTTTCATAAAAAGCCCTTTTAGAGAAGCGTCACATACAAACAATGACAAAAAATAATTACACCATTTCGAAACTGAAAAGGCAAAAAAAAGCTGAATTAAACGAGGCCTTAATATATACTACAAAAAAATGCCATAGATTTTTATCTAGATTGAATGATGCCATCAGATAGCCTCTTGTTTCTCTAGTGGTGGAGAGAACTAGGAGAATTGAGATGGATATTCAAACCACCCAGAGGAGGCTTAAAATTAATAAAATTAAAAATATAGAAGGTATATGAGCTTTTATAAAATTCTCAAGCTAGATCATTCTCACAATCTGGAAAGTCTTATTGGAAGAAAGTAAAATCTAGTAGTAGTATTAGTCAAATGAGCCTAAATAACTTTAACAAATATGGAAAACAACATAAGGATGAATGTCTATATGGAACCAATACCTACTTCTAGTGTCATCAACCTGGGCATATAACTAAGAGTTGTCCTACTCTTGGACAAAGACCATTTGGAGAAACAATGATAAATTTTGGATCATCTTAGAGAAATTTTGGCAGACAATGGATGATAGAATCAGCTACATTAACTCCATGGCCAAATCAAAGTCGACTTAACACTCAGCCTAGAGTGTATGCTTTATTTCAGCATGATGCTAAGGATACACCTGAAATAATTACATGTATGTTTTTCATTTAATTTATGAGAAATTTTATTTATTTGTTATGAGTAGTCAAATAATGTAGGAATAATTAAATAAATAAAAAATATTTATTAATTACTATAAAATTCTTATAGGTATGATAACAATTCACATAGGCCTGCATAAATACTCTTTGATACGAGAGCCTTACATTCCTTCATTTCAGAGGAATTTATAAAAACAGTTGGATTGAAAAATTTCAAAGCATCCACAGTTTTAGAAGTTTTGATGCCAAATGAGTTTAAAATGAATGTTAGCAATTTATATCAGATTGATTTCAAAATAAATAATATGAGATTTGAGGCAATTTTGAATAAGTTTCCATTGAAAGAATTTGATTTGATCATGCAAATGGATTGGCTATCAAATCATTTTGTTGTTGTCATAGAATGCAATAAGAAGATTGTTAAATTTAAACTTTCGGTTGAAAAAGAGTGTAAATTTTATGGAGATGGAGGGCTTACTTCAATGATGATAACTTACTTGAAAGCTTGCAAATTACTGAGGGATATTAGAGTTTTCTTGCTCAGTTAAGAGTTTGAGAATGTGTATTGATTACCGAGAATTAAATAAGCTTACTGTTAAACATAAGTACCTATTGCCTAGAATTGATAATTTATTTGATCAGCTTGAGGGAGCTCCAGTTTTCTTTAAAATTGATCTGCATTGTGGATATCATTAGTTGTGCATTAAAGAAGAAGATATTGCTAAAATTGTTTTCAGAACAAGATGTCATTAATGTATGATTTGTTTGCTTGTAATTTCATTAGCATGCCATTTTTAGGGTTAGTTGTGGGCTATGTTGCACCAATACGGATACGGCAACACGGATACGACACGATACGGATACGAGACACGTCAATTCTTAAAAATACAGGATATGGGTACGGCGCGGATACGACATCATAGTTTATAAATCATACATAAAAATTAAGAAAGCAATCAAAGCATAATATTTGAAATTACAAAAAAAAATAACAACAACATCATTTGTAGCCTTGTAGCTTATAATATCAAAATATAAGTAAGCATTAAATGTCTAGTACAACAAAAGCATAAACATAAATTGTCTAGCACATAACGTTTCAACTGTTCAATAGAAGGAATGATATGATTAGCTTCTTTAGTGGTTTGTCTTTGAACTTCTATATCATCTTCAATAAATATCATAGCTTTTAATTTAGGCTTATCAAGTGAAAGATTAGTAATTTCTAATATTCTCATATTATCAAGAGACTCAAATTCACTCGGAAATGAGAGAACTTTGCTCGCAGCCGCGGAAGTAAATACGACGAATCTTTTTTTTTTTTTGGATTTATTTTTGTTTTTCAACGGACACGTGTATCGGATACGCGTGTCCTTTTGAAATTAAATAGTATTTTAATTGGATACGTCTTTGGCGTATCTGACACATATCGGTGGAGTATCGGAGGCGTATCCGTGTATCGGTGTATCGAATACAGCACGCCTTCATAAATAGGTGTATCGGTGCAACATAGGTTGTGGGCCATTGTTAGAATTTTTTGGTATGCTTCTTAATTTGGTTTTACATTCATTACTTGCCTCATAACAATTATTCATTTGCATTATTTGCATTGATTACGTAATGATATTTACAAAACTCAGCTACAATTATGATAATTATAAATTTTATGCTAATGTGAAGACGATGCATGTGGTGATAAGGTAATGGTGTATTTAAAATAATAAAGATTAATGTTATGAACCTTTATGAAATTGAATGCAAAGAAAGATTAATGTTATGAACCCTTATGAAATTGAATGCAAAGAAAAGATTATCATGTAAAATTTTGCAATGAATTGGAACTTATGCCTGCAATTTAAAATTCCAAGAAATTATGGTATACATTCAAATTTGAATGTGTTTTATTTGATCTTTTTTTACTGGCATACTTCCACTTCATTGGATTTTACTCCATTTTATCTCTTCCTTGTGAGTTCACAACCAGTCTACGGATTAAAAAAAAAGAGTCTTCTACGGATAGTTTTATGTAGCTTGTCCTCAAAGTTGTGCTTGATGATGAGTTTTTGTCCGCTATTGTTGAGCGATTCCAATGATAGATAGTTCAGTAGTGTGAGATTACTTTGACAGGAAGCACATGATTTTTTTGAACGAGCAATAACGATGTTTGGACTTATCCTTGTCTTGATTAATTGAGGCGTTGTTTCTATTACCTGATACTTGCAAGCATGGTTGAGTCATCCCATTTCATGCAGATTTGGTTTGATGATGGTGTGATTGATTTTCAAAATTAGCTGGAAATAATTAGAAATTCCTTGCCTTAGCTTCTTTCTTTTTTCTTCTTTTTCCTTTCTTCTTCTTCCTCTTTTTTGCTCTCTATTTTTTTTCTCTTCCAGTAATTATAGCTGCCTCCTCTATTCAGTTGTTGCTACAGTAGCTAAACTCCCCCTCCCACTCTAAGCTCTCGATTAGTGCAGGGAGTATGATAACTCTTTCTCAAGGAAGTTCACATACTTATTAGTTTTAATAGTTCCCTGAAAGTCCATCACCCAAGCCACTCATCGCCTTGGAAGAATCGGGAGAAATGGTGAAGCGGCCCTATGCTGCAATAGAATAGTTTTAGCTACAGTGGATATAATAAAAACTTTTGGAAAATTTTAATTAGCTTAGGTAATTATTTAATCTAATATTGGTATGTTATTTATGTATCTGTATATCAAAATGAAATCTATAATTTAATAAATATGATTTTGACGAATTTCGTGAAAAGTAGGATATAATTTTTAGGATAAATATTTATCTTACCTATTTGAGAATTCCGATTGGGGTGGTGGAAATAGGATCTTGTCGAAGTTGGAGCGGGGAGATTGGCGACTGTGCTTGCAGTTCTTGATGACAGTGATTCCTCTTGGGACGAACAAGGAATCTGTTGTGCTAGCAAAGATGTTGGTGCTTTTTGGTTGTGCAGGAGACATAGCACAATCAAGAGAGATATAGATAAAGTGGGGATTGAGGTGGAGATTGAACAACGATGTATCTCAGCGAGAGCACCATTGTTATGACACTTTTAATGAGATTGCGATAAACGACGAATTCTAGCTCGCAGACAACTTCGGAAATTTGGTGGGGGAGGGAAAGAGAATAGAACATAGTCTGTGAATGTTTACCTCATTTCGTCTCGTCATGCCCCAATGCCTCCAAATTGGGAATATTCATAGAAATACAAGCTTTGTAAAGAATTATAAGCTTCCTATTATTCATGATACACATTGATTAACTATAAACTACAATAACTCACAAAAGACTACTTACTCAAGTCCTAGTTTAATCATTATATCATTGACCCTAAGATTTTGGTGTACTTGAACTAACTTATTTTTAAAGATTAGAATGTTTCTTTGTAAGTGTGTGGGGATGGGATTCAATTGACTTAATAATGAGAGTACTCTGGATGGAGGAGCCATGCTTTGAGATTATGTGGCCAAGTGCATGGGCCCATCATCAAGAATGGAGAACTTGGATGTTAAAGGTATTGTATGGGTGCATGTGCCCCTCATCAAGAATTGAGAACTTGGATTTTAAAGGTATTGTATGGTTTGTGTTAGATGCCCCAGTTTTTAAGATGCATTGCCATTCTTTTATTTTTTCCTTTCAGTTGATCGTCTTCTTCGTTCTTATAATCATATGAAGCATGCAATTTTTTTAAAGTGCTCTTTATTGATGCCATGTTGTACCTCCCTTTTACTGCTACTTAATTTTTTATTGACCCTGTTCTTTATATTTCATTTCAGGAGTTGATAGCGTAGGTACAGTTTCAGCATCTTTGGTGACTTATGCTTCTATCCAGGCATTGAAACCAGATCTTGTCATCAATGCAGGCACTGCTGGAGGCTTCAAAGTATGCTTTTTTCCAAATCCTAGGAATATTTCCCCCATTACATTGTTTTAACAAATTCAATTAATTCCCCTGCTAATGTGAGGCACTATTTATCAACATCATCATTAATTTATTCCCAATTATTTGGGGTTTGCAACCTCCCTCTTTTTAACCATGTGAAAATGTTCTGTTAATTTCACCCTTGATCCTGCTAATCTTCACAGACTTCTGTTCTATCTGTTATTCATATTATTCTATTGAACTATTAACTTATATGGGTGTGATGGAGGGATGGAAGTTGGTTGGGAGGGCGAGATCAGATCTAGGGTTGAGCCACTATTCTTCAGTAGTCAATAATCAAAGTTTTACATAGAAGCGTTGACACAACCGTTTATGTCAAATAGGTTTGCCGATATAATTACTAATTCACCAAAACAAATAACGTCCATTTCCTAATGACTACATAACCGTGAATAAATAAATGACACTCATGGCCTAGCACATGACGATAAATAATCATGTTGGAATAATTGATACTGATTGTGCTACTGTTGGGGATAATTTTGCATTATTCCCTCGAGCTTCATAGGCCTATGTACGCTTCAAGTGTGGCAGATTAGAAGACACTACGGTTGCAATACCTCACAACATTGATCATGCCTGCTTTTTTAAGCGTGATAAGAAGGTTTAAATTCCCACGAATATGCCCCCTATGCGAGATAGGCATCAAGTGGACGCCAAAATTTGAATTGAACGCAGTTTTATAGCAGAACATAAGAGAACTTTCAAATATGAATGCATTATTGAAATGAATTAAACTAAAAAAAAAATTGCTGAGTAATAAAAATAAGATTAAAACTGCAAGAGATGGGACATGATTGAACATTAAATTGATTGCACTGAATTTATAGGGGATTTGTAATGAACCTTGCAGCTTGTTAACAAACATGAATAGAATTTCCCTACCACTCTCATAATTATCTTGAACACCCACAACCAAATGAAAATTCAAATTAACTTGGATGGGATGAAGTAAGCCAAGCTACACCCCTCCTATTTAAAGGAGAAAATTTGATTCATCACAAGTCTGCCTCGCTTAAATATTAAGACAAAAAGACAAAAATCTCATTTTATGACATACCCAAAACATTTTAACTTTTCTTCATTGTCGCTGGATCCGTAATATGTACACTCATACATATAAAATGCATAAGAGAATATTTTAAAATTCAAAATGAAATTTTGTGCGCATTTTAATAATTTTTTTTACACAAATAGTAAAAAATTAGAATATTTTAAAATCTTTCACACATCAAAACACAACTGTCAAATTTAAATGTGATGTATTAAAATGCATCAAACCTTGAGAATTGTGCAACTATCTTGAGAAGCATGTTGTTGACTCGAGAAGCGTGCCACTTCCTTGAGAATTATATAGCTGCCTAAGAAAAGTGCACCTAATTTGAGAAGCATGCTATCATTCCAAGAGCACACAAATGTATTATGTGAAGGCATTAAAGAGTGTATAACTGCATATTATATATGCCCTGAAAGCTTGTAAATGCATTAGAAATTTTAAAGCACATTCAAAAGTGCGCGAGTACAGTGCAAATGCATTGTTTAGGCACATTGAAAAGCATGCAGGTACATTAACATGCATGGAGTATACTGTGCAAATGCATAAAAAGAGTGTAAGTGCATTCTGTAAATGAAATGTTGAATGCACCAAAAATACATAAAAAATTGTGCACAATATATCAAATTGTCGAAATTAGTTTTGCTCTAATGTGTTATGACAAATTTGTTGGATGTTAAAGTATAAAGATTGAGAATGATGATTGGGCTAAAACAAAAGTGAACTCAACTTTGCCTTGCTCCGAGAATCACCCATCCCTTTGAAAATAGAAAATATTTTTCAAAATTCACAAACTATTTTTCAAGCGCAAATTTAAAGCCTCATTTTTATGCGGTGTTCTCAAGCTGGTTGCCTTGCCTATAGGGCAAGGTTTCAAGTCTCACTTTTCAAGTATGATCCTCTTCCTTGCAAGAATTAAAGTTGACAAGACTTGAAATATTGTATCAGTTGTATATGACAAATCTAAAATGACAATATATATATATATATAAGTTGAGGTGCAAGCCTCATAAAAAAAACTCGAGGCGTAAGCATCGAGGCGTTTTTTACTGGAATTGCGCAAAGGCAGGCCTCAAGGCGAGCCTCATATTGCGCAATTTTAAACCATGATATATATATATTGCATTAGACCTTCAATATTTCTTATGAAGGAAATTCACTTTAAAATGTCAACTCTCAAATTCACCCCACCTATATGGTAACCCATAAAGTTAAATTGGGGATCCTCTATTAGGAAGTGTGGATAATATTCAAAGCAACAAAAAATAGAAGTGTTAAAAGCTTTGATGATGGCTACTTTAACAAAAAATCTTAACTATAACCTAGTATCCTAGACTTCCTATTATGATATTGAGGCAAGCCCGGTACCCCTTGTTGTGTTATTGACTGTCAAAGTCGCCCCACTTATATGGCAACCCATAAAGTTAAATTGGGGATCCTCTACTAGCAAGTGTGGATAATATTCAACGCAACAAAATATAAGTGTTAAAAGCTTTGATGATGGTTACATTAACAAAAAGTCTTAACTAGAACCTAGTGTCCTAGACCTCCTATTCTGATATTGAGGCAAGTCCAATACCCTTGATTGTATTATTGATTCTATTTTAAACAAACATCCATCTTAGCTCGACAAGATTTCTTGCACGAAACAACCTATGGTTGCCGATAAGGGTCATTCAATTAGGTTGAGTTGACTATTTACTTTGACTAAGTAGATCATGGATCATGACAACTCGAGAGGATGAAATTATGAGATTTGATCAGGTATGTGATCGTATCCATTCCCCCCACCAACAATCAACTTTAAGTTCATGATTATTAATTTCAATTCTAAATTAAATTACCGGTACTATATGCTAAACATTTAGTTTTTAACAGTTAGCCATAATTGAAAGCTATCTCTTGTCACGCGGAAGTTTAGTTAACCTTAGGAGCTTATGCATATGGGTAGATATTATAAAATTCTAACGAAATGAGAGCGAAATTTCGCTTGATAGTGTCTTCTTTACAACCTAATATGCCTTCTAAAAATTTGACATGAAACACCAAAGCTCTCTTAGTAAAGTCGGAGTGCAAATTTTTAGAGCTCACACAAGGATCAATAGGAAAATATATAAAATGATAAATTTCAGAAGTAATTCTTTTTCTAAAGGTTGGCTTATTAGTGCTAATAGTCCAATCAAGGCTTATGTTTAATGTCGTAGGCATGCTAATTAGATAGGTTTTTTTTTTGCTTTATTTATTAATTTATAGTTAGGGTTTGTTTGGTTTGTTTTATTTTTTATTTATTAGGACTTATTTTTTCCTTTTTTTTTGTGAAATGTATTAAGGATGAAGATTAAAAAATACTTTTCCTAAAAGATGATATTCAATAAAGGTGGATGAGATATTTTGCTAAACTTTTTAATGAAAAATGTGAAAATATGATTAACTTTACTGACTTTAGTACCATAAATGAAAATAAAGATTTTTGTTTTTATCGGCGTATTAGTAAAACCGAAGTTAGAGAGGTTTTAAAGAAAATGAAGTGTGGAAAAGCTGTTGGACCTGATGATATTCCAATGGAGATGTGGAAATGTTTAGGAGATGAAGGAATTTCTTGGCTTACTAAACTTTTTAATGTGTTGTCATGAAATTTAGTAAGCCAAGAAATTCCTTCATCTCCTAATCATTTCCACACTTCTATTGGAATATCATCAGGTTTAATAGCTTTTCCACACTTCATTTTCTTTAAATCCTAATTAACTTCGATTTTGCTAATATGTCGATAAAAACAAAAAATTTTATTTTTATTTATGGTGCTAAGGTCATTAAAGTCAATCGCATTTTCAAAATCTTCATTGAAAAGTTTAACAAAATATCTCATCTTCTAATAAAAGTAATTTTTTATCTTCATCCTTAATACACTTCATTTGAACTAAATCCTTACTACTCTGATAGGAAATACTTGAAGATCTCAAGTAGAGCTTAGCAATCTTGGCAAAAATAGCGAGAAAAATCCACAACTCCAATGGAAAAAAAAGTTTTTATATTGCAATAAACAAATATAATGGAAGTAAAAATGCCAAGATATAGTCGATCCTCAATTTGAGAGGAGGATCTTTCTATCCCAATCCCTAAACACTGCTAGAGCCCAAGATACCAAACTCTAAGACAGAAAACAACCATAATAATTATGCATAACTCTAATCCTATTATTTTTCTCCTACTTAAAGCATATACCAATCCCCTAACCCTAGCCGCCCGCCCTCCTTAATTTCACTTCCTAGTGGATCCCACCCATAGCTAGCTTGGTGGCAAACTCAAGAGGGAGGACTAGCTTTGGTCTGCCTCTTGTAAAACTGAATCGGCCACTTGCCAAGGGCCGGTTGGACCGGTCCCTAACCATGCCCCCCTCTCAAAGAGTCACCTTGTCCTCAAAATGAAATGAGGAAAATTGATGCTTCACCCTCTCATCATGCTCCCATATGGCATCGTAGTCCGGTAGGCTCTTTCGTTTGATCAGGACTTGCATGATTCTCTCATCACCCTAACAAATCCTTATCAGCTCTAATGAGTCTAATAGCACCTCTAAGTTCTCAGTCAGCGTCACTGGTAACTCAAAACTCTCTATGTGATCTCTAGTTGCCCTCCTTAGTTGTGATACATGGAAAACAGGATGTATGGTCATTGTTGATGGTAGTTTCAGTCGATTTGCCACCGCTCCAATCCTCTCTAATACTTCAATTGACCCAAAATATCTTGGGGCCAGCTTCTCATTCATCCTGTTGGTGATGGTCTTCTGCCTGTAAGGTTGGAGCTTTAAGAACACCCTCTCCCCTACCTCAAATCGAATGTCCTTCCTATGCCCATCTGTCAGTCTCTTTATAATTTGTTGAGCCCTCAA